AAAGTCTATCATTTCCAATTTCATTTCGTTTGATTTTGAAAAGATTTTCCAAAATGAAAACAAATTAATGAACATTTTCACTGAGATGAAAATAAAATCGATTGCCTACTTTTATCCAACCATCTTATAGATTATATTAGTTTTATTAGTGAGATTTTGTCACAATTAAAATTCAGTCAAATTTCCAATTTGACTAGTCGAAATTGAAATTTCAATTTTGTCTAATATATTCTCAGTCCAAATTGAAATTTCAATTTCGACTAGTCAAATTTGAAAATTGATTGAATTTTAATTTTGACTACAACATTTATAAAAGCAGATAAGAATATATTCATTTCTTATAGAAATTTATATTCAACAACATGGGAATGGCAAAGAACAAAAAACTATGCTTTAAATGTGATGAAGAAAAAATAACATATAATTGTGAAGGATGTGCAAAAAAATTTTGTTTAATGGATTTAAATGAACATCGTCAAGTATTAACTAGTGAATTACATCAAATCACCAATGAATATAATGAATTTAAACAAAGAATTAATGAACAAAAACGAAATCCACATAATCATTCCTTAATAAATCAGATTAATCAATGGGAAATAGAATCAATTGAAATAATTCACCAAAAAGCACAAGAATACAGAGAAATCCTCATTAAATCTTCAGAAACATGTATTAATGATATTGAAATGAAATTTAAAAATTTAAATGAACAAATAAAACAAATTCATCAAGAAAATGAATTTAATGAAATTGATCTAAATTATTTAAGAAATCAATTAATAGAAATTACAGAAGAACTAAATAATCCATTAAAGATTCCTATTAAAGAAGATTTACAATCCTTTATTGATGCAATTCCAATTATTTCATCAAAAAGTAAGCTTTTAAAATATAATTTCTAGAAGAATAATTCTCATTTTCTATCAAATTATTTTAAACCACTATAATACAAAGAAAAATAATGATAAAGAAAATAAAATTTATTTGTATGTAAAGAAAATGAATAATGAGATATGAAAGAATATTTAAGAAAGATTTTATTCTATTTAAAATATATTTGATAAGAAATATTTTTCTAAATATTCATATTAAAAGTTTCAATTAAAATAAATAATAATATCAAACAGATTGTCTTTTTTATATAATATATAGAATATTAAGAACTAATCCAAAGTTTTCGTTTCCTCTTCGATAAAAAAGAAAATTTTCTTCTTCTTTTCGTTAAAATCTTTTTTTCATCATTTTCTAGAATCAAAAGTCAATAAATGGAAACAAAATGCCATTACTGTAGCTGGTGGAAATGGGATAGGACAAGCATTATATCAACTCACTTGGTCTAAAGGAATCTTCATTGATAAAAATAAAAATGTTTTTATTGCTGATATTGGAAATCATCGTATTGTTACATGGAAACACAATGCAAAAGAAGGACAAATCATTGCAGGCGGAAATAAACAAGGATATCGAATGGATCAATTGAATTTTCCAACTGATGTGATTGTTGATCAACAAAGTCATGCGATTATCATTGCTGATCAAGGGAACAGACGAGTGATTCAATGGTTAAATCAAACTCAAAAAATTGTTATTAAGAATATTGACTGTCATGGCTTGGCAATGGACAAACATGGATTTCTTTATGTTTCGGATCATAATAAGAATGTAGTCAGACGATGGAAAATGGGAAAATATAACAATAAAGGAATTGTAGTCGCAGGTGGAAATGGCAGAGGAAATCAACTCAATCAACTCAATGGTCCTACTTTTATCTTTGTTGATAAAGATCAATCTATTTATGTATCAGATAGGAACAATGATCGTGTGATAAAATGGAGAAAAGATGCAAAAGAAGGAAGAATTGTGGCTGGAGGAAATGGTAAAGGAGCAAATCTCAATCAATTATCTTCACCTCAAGGTGTAATTGTTGATGATTTTGGTCAAATCTATGTGGCAGAGTATTCGAATCATCGAATAATGCGTTGGTGTGAAGGGAAGGAAGAAGGTGAAATTGTTGTTGGTGGAAACGGTGAAGGAAATCAATCAAATCAATTGAATCGTCCCCATGGTTTATCTTTTGATGACGAAGGAAATCTTTATGTTGCTGATTGGTTAAATTATCGAATTCAAAAATTTGAAATACTTTTGTGAACGAAATTCTGATTTTACAAAAAAGAAAAGAAATTTTTTTGTTAAATAAAAAATAAAGTTATATTGTTGAAAATGAATGAAAAAAGTTGAATAGAATTTGACGAAAAAAGAAATGTATTGATAAGAAAAGAACCAGAAAAAATCTTTTTAGTTGTTTTTCCTTTAGAATTGAATTTAACTTGATAATTTTGACTAAAAAATTCGAATAAATAAATGTTAAATAGTTCATCTTTTATTGACTTTTATCAAATTTTACACCAGAAAAGAGGAGAAAATATTTTATAACTTGAATTGAATTGAATTTTGTTAAACAGAAGAAAATGCTGAAAGGATTTTTCTTTAATTATTTAACAAATTTTTATTTGTTTGGTATTTTTCTTCACTTGAAATGTTTTATCATAGTTCTTTTTCAAATCAAATGTATAGTTGGAACAAAAGACAGGAAATATCAAATATTATTCTTTTACAGAATATGCACAAGAATCTTTTTTTTGATGAAAAAAAAATTCTTATTTATATTGAAATAATTATAACACAGCGCAAGTTTGGAAATTCAATTCTTTGAAATAGTTTCATGTAGATAAGTTATAAGTTTTTTGAAATGACATTGAGAATACCACAGGACGACCATTTCGTGTGCAAAATTTTTGTACATAGATGTTTTTTTTTTAATTTGAAATTATCGTGAGTTCTGTAGTACATTCGATGCTAGACTCTTCGAGATTGTTTTGAAAACTATAGATAAACAATGACAAAAGTCAATATTCGAATATGAATCGATGTATTGAGTTTGAAACTTTTACTATAAATTTTCTTCATTAAAAATATTTATTTGAAAAATTTTCAATTCAAATAAACACTTTTATTTAAATTTTAGTTATATAACATATGAAAAATTTAATAAGAACATAGACATCATCTATATATCAGATATTCTCAATTGTGAAGATTATTCAACATTCTATTGAAAGAAACTCACAAAAGATTTTATTTTTTTGCTATTTTATCTAAAAATATAAATAAACTATAAAATCCAATTCATTTAAGAAAAAACAAACAAATTTCTAATCTTTTCATTGATTATTTTAGATTTCAATTAATATATACATCATCAATGGGTCGAATGCAACTAGCAACGATAACAACAAACTGAATTAGTTCAAGTAAGTTTATTTCATTTTAGATTTTCTTTATAGATTGAAATCTTCTGTTTGAGTTGAGAAAATGAGTCTGTTTTCTCTTTTTCATCTAAACTTATCATGAAAAATAGTAAAAGACTCTAGTTTTGTATTTATGTCGATTCTATTCATTGACTTAGTGTGAGTATAGTCATTTAAATATTCTTTCTCTCACATTTTCATTCATATATAACAAACTTGTTGAATATTTTGTCCAATTTTTTTAAAAAGATGGATATCATAATTTTTTCATTAAAATTCTTCTTACTTTTCAAGTGAAAATTAAAATTAAAACTAATTAAAGGCCTCATTATTTGTATTATGAGATTTCTATGAATCCATTAATTGATTTTTATGATAAAACTATTGTGGATTTACTAAAAATTACAGTTTATAAAAGAACAATGTAATGAAACAATAAACATCTTTGCCCACGTTCTTAATTTATTCATTTATGTAAAATTCTTTTCTTAGTTTCCATAAAGACAAACGATGAAATGAAGAAATTTTTGTTTATTTTTAATTTGATTTCAACACGGTTTTTGTATCAACTAAAATCTCGTTAAATTCATCTAAAGCAAAAAAAAAGAAAATTTTTTGTTTATGAGAAAAGAGACGAAGAGCAAGATGGATAGAAGTCGAAGATCGGCTTGATCTCAAACAAGTTCAGTCTTAGTCAATCACGATAATCTAAAAAGTACAATTTTGTATTAAAAACTCTTAATTTCATTGATTTTTTCCTCTCTGATTGAGACATTAATAAAAAACTTTTTCTCCAATTTTCAAAAAGTATTATAAGTTTATTATCAATTATTTCAATTATCTGAAGAAATCAACTAAAAATATAGATCTAGACTTATTTTTGATAGAAATAAATAATTATTCAAATAAAATAATTATGTTCTTTTAATTAATTTTCAAATGAAAAAATCTTTAATCATAATCAATTTCTTTTATCATTTTCATCTTAAAAATATTTGATTTTAACGATCTTAATAAGATTTTGTGTCATAAATTCGTTTCTACTACTACAATTTAATTTTTGTTTTTCTTTTAAGATTTGACTAAAACTTGATTTGATCTCTATAAGGAGAATGATTATTTCTAACAAAATTCGATTAATAATATATAATTTTTAGAAGAAAACTATAAAGTTTTATTATTTAATATTCTCAATGATTGTATAATTATAAACAATATATTCATCTAATGGATTTATTATCAGAGTTTTTTAGTTTGCAAGGATTGCAATTTCATTTTCTTTTCATCTAATTCATCATTTTCTAGAATCAAAAGTCAACAAATAGAAACAAAATGCCATCGCTGTGACTGCTGAAAATGATCAAGGAGAAGATCTTAATCAATCGTACTCACCTCAAGGAGTATTTGCAAAGATATATTCAAAATTAACGAACATGAATTACGATAGAAAGACGATAACTTCTAATCTTATACTACGTAAATGGGTTACTTGTACGAAAAATACCAATCAACGCATGATCACTGAGAGCTACGATCAAAGAAAATCTCAAGATTTATCTGCATAATCTTTCCAAAGCAAGGGTGTGAGTATGGATGAGGAAGAGCCTCATATTTGTCCGCACTGACATCCACACCCTATCACCATTTTATAATAACAATAAGAAAAAAAAACAAGAATTTTCTTTATCAGCAAAAACGTCGAAACTTTCAAGTTGCTTTAGTTAGAAGAATTCTAATGTATTTCATTTGATTGTGTATAAATATTGTCTTGATTTTTATACAAAGGAACAAAAAAAAGCTTATATAGTTTGTTGAAGTAAAAAAAATATAGAATGTTTTATCAGAATTAAAAGTACATTCTCAAATAATCTACAAAAAGAAAGTTATTTTTAACTTCGCTATTACATATATCGTATACAATCAAACAAAACAGCTTTTCAACTTAATATCTTTTATTCATTTAGAAAAAAATATCTCAGCTATCTCCTCATGATTTATTTGGTGACTACGTCTTTTGAAATGAAAAACTTATTATGCGCGTTATGCATCTAATTATGTTTTAAAGAGTGAAGTATAAAACACTTACACAAGAAAAAATTTTTAACCATAATAATATAAAATAGTACACATGAATGATTTAAATTATGTAATATTTTTTTTCATCAACTGCTATCTTTAATTTCATTTTTTAAACATTTTCTCTACTGTAACAATGGTTATAGATAGTAACTTAAGCACAGTAATAAATATTGAATTATGGTTTATTCCTTTTGATTTAATCATGCTTTCATGTAGTATCTTCGCTATTTTACTTGCTAGCATTTTTTTGTGTATTATTTTTCTCGATAAAACCTACCATACAATTCCAATGATGTTTGTTGCAAATTCATGTTTAGCGGAAATTATTTTTGGAAGTTGTACGATTAGTATGACTTTATTTACACTTCAAAATGATTTGAAAAAAATCTGGTATTATAATTCATTTTGTAATTTTCTAGGATATTACGGTAATGTTGTAACTTCAATACAAAATTGTTCTTATTTATTACCAGCTATTTATCGATATTTTCTTGTAATTTATCTAAATGTTTGTTTTCATGTTTGAAAATGAAAATTATTAACAACTGCAGGTAAAGAAGCATTAATACATAAGAATTCGGTTAATTGTGGACGAGAAATTCCAATATTTTCATCACCATTTTTTGTTTTTACCAAAAAAGTAAGAGAAATTTTTGAATATCTAAATCAGAATTTATTTCGTTTTTATTTTTAGATAAAAACACGAGCTGTATCAGCCAAACAAATGTCAATGTCAACACCAATTCAATTATTATTATTTGCATCTGATCAAGTTGATGTTGTTGAATCAAATCTTATTTGTCTAGATAATTGGTATATATTTATATTTATATATTTATTAAAATATATTTTTATTTCTTCTAGGTTAATGTTAAATATGAATACTGATTTAGCATCAAAAATAGTATCTATTCGACCAGCTATAGAAGCATTAATTATACGATGTACACAACAACCAAATGATATTACTAGTCATCTACTATCAGTTGAACAATTATGTAATTTAATTCGTCTTTTGTCAGATTAACAACTTGAACATGTTTTATGTGAAAATATTATTGAAAATAATGAAACAAAATTGATAAATGAATAGTATTTGTTACCAATAATATTTTTAATAAATGATAAATACCTGATTAAAGCTCAAGAAAAGGATATGGCTCATCTTTTGTTACTAACAAATAAAAAATGATATTAGCTAGTCGTCTTTGATGATATTGAATATATTTAACTAAATACTGATAGTGATCAATAAGATAGTATTTGATTGAATAAATTGAAGAAAGATTGAAAAGTTTAATACTATGTATATAAAATACTATATTTCAATGATTCTCCATGATGTATCGAATAAAAACAATAGATTGTGAGAAAAATTATAAAATTATGATTTAATTGTATTATTAGATTATCGTAGAGTATAACAATTATACAAAAAACAAAAATCTTTTCGAAATGCTTAAAATCTATATATTTTTATCACTATTTAGTCATTTAAACAAGAACATGATGTATGACATTCTTGATTTTCTATTGTACAATGAAAAAAACACCCTCGATTCATTTTCTAACATATATCATTTTCGATTTATTTCCTAACAAAGAAAACAAGTAACGCTCGTCTGCCGCCTCGCTCAGCTCTTTCTCGTAGAAATCGTATTCTACTATACTAAACTTTTTGCTTATACAGTTTGGAAAAATTAACACCAGATTTGTGTTCTTCCACCCCACTTACCCTTCGGTCACCCCTTATGAAAACTTTTTCTTTATAAAAATTGGTTCTCTCTCTAAAAAAGTGATCCATAAAATTATTTTATAAAACTAACATCAGATTCTAAGTCTCCGCATCGAAATGCCCCAAAAATATCTTTTCTAAAAAACTGATTCTCGAATTACCCTCTGGTAAAACTTTCTTGGAACTATCTTTAAGATTAATAATATTAATTAATTATTAATTGATTTTTAACTAAAACTAACCTCACGTTCGAATTCTTGGCACTCGATTACCCCTCGGTCAAACTTTTTTCGAAAATTAATAATATCAATTATTAACTAATTAATTTTAATAAATCAATCTCAGATTCGAGTTCTCCATACTCGATTACACTATGGTCCAACTTTTCCGAAAATATTTCAAAAATTAATAATATTAATTATTAACTAATTATTAATTGATTGTTAACTAAAAGTAACCTCAGATTCGGATTCTCCACACTCGATTACCCTTCGGTGAAACTTTACTCGAACATATAATAATAATAATTATTAACTGATTATTAACTAATTATCAACTAGTTAATTTTAATAAACTAACCTCAGATTCAAGTTCCCCCCCCTCGATTCCCCCCCCCCCCCCAGTCAAAGTTTTCCGGAAGTATCTGAAAAATTTAATTTCAATGTTTTTTTGACCCTGCGGACAGACAAGCAATCAAGCAATCAAGCAATCAGACAATTTATGTTTACTGGACTCTTCTCTACGAGAAAGAGAATTACCTCGATTTATTCTTTGTGTTTTTTATATAAATGGCTCAAGATTCAACTGGGCAAACTGTGTGTAAGACGAAAATTCCTTAATATTTATCAAAATATAATTATTATAATGTACTTGTTTATCATGTTATTCCATTTTGTATTCACATAATAACTGTTACATTATTAATTGTAATCACAGATGATCATGCTGTATTTTTTAAAGCTCTAAAAAGACAATTTTAATAATCAAAAAGAATTATACTATATTAAAAAGATGAACAATAGAATATATTTGTGTAAACAATATTAGGTATAGATCAATACAAACTTGTCTATTTCTGATCATCAGTGAATAATATTGACCTTTTAATTAAACTTAAATTAGAAATTGTTTTTATATACTGTATATATTCAATCTGTACATCTGTTTAAAAACAAATGGAAACTGTTGATTTTGTTATATTTCTATTTAAGAATTTAAATGTATTTAAAGAAATAACTGAAATTTATATATTTGTTCTAGCTTTACTTAGTTTAAAAGAAAGTTTACAAATAATATTAGCATCACATTTATCTACATAAGTGTGTAATTAAAATTTATTTCAAAGGCATTCACTATAGACTTCTATGATTTTTGACTAATATTGAAAATATAAACGATATCAAATATTGTTTTCATGGTATAAATGCTTACGCTTTTGTTTGTATTGCAAATACTTAGTTTATTACACAGTATATTATGAAGTTATCAATATTTTATTTGATCAATGATATAAATATGATGTAGTTCAATAGATGAAAAACACATACAATCAAATAAACATTTAATACACATTTTTGTCATATATACTGTAGTTTTATTTTATACCAACAGAAAGAAATAAACTATTTTTTGAATTATAAATAGCAGTTATTATGATTAATTTATTTTTGTTATACATTGAAGAATTTAGTAAATTTTAAAAGTTTCAAAAGTTTTGTTTTGTACGATCATGACTAAGCCAACATGTGCGTTTGTCTGTTTGATGAGCAGTCACGCATCATTGCCCTTTTTTTTCTTCGTATCTTAACAAAATGTGCTTCGTCGTTGTTTCATATTACATTGAAGCTATAATATACCAAGGTGAACTATTAAATATTCTGTCGTTGCATATTTGTTCTTAATATAACATTCGAATACCAAAATGGAAGCTGTAATAGAAAATGTAAATATAGAGATACCACTGGTTGAGCATTAATGTTAATGAGCTACTGCTACATACCCATCATTATGACAAATGAAGAGGCATAGTGTAGTATCTTGCGATACGATGTTTCTTTAACTATGCTCTACATCGAAATGTAACTACTGAACATACAACACCAGTATATATACTAGAGAGAGAGAGAAAGAGAGAATATGAAACGATAGAATCGGCTAGATAAAAAAGGAAAGAGAAGGAGAAAGATAAAAATAATATAAGGGATGTCATTCAAAAGGATGTCTGTCACTTCTTTCGGCACACAAGTGAAACTACGAACAACAACAACAATGGACATATATCAATAATCTGTTGATAGAAGCGATAAAAACTGCCAATCGTGCTAATTTCTTTTCTTTTACAAATTAGAAGGTGTGAGTGTGGGTATGAGTATTATACACACCACATACCGACACTCAGCCACCCTTAATTCTCAAGAATTACGCCAATAGGTTTATTATGAAGAAATAAAATTTGATATAAATAAAAGAATATCGCACTATAAATGAATAAAATAAAAAAAGGATGACATTTCATCAATTCAGAGATGATACAATACCACTAAGGACGAATATGTATGTGTACGTTTGATTCAAGGTTAGTAGATCTCATTTTTCGTGTGTTTGATTACGATATCTAATTGACATTATATTATCAAATTACTAACAGTAAACACACCCTTCAATTTAGATTATTTTTTAAATAAACTAAACATTCTGTATTATCGTAAAAAGTCATCTATCGTAAATAAACAGTTTTGTCGACTGAAATTGAATATTAAGCTTAAGAAATTATTTTCCCACATGATATTTTTTACATCTTAAACTGAGTTTCCTTCAGCCATAAATAATGAGTCCGAGTTACTATTTAAAAAAAGCTGCTTCTAGAAAAATATTCGTTAGAAGAACATAACTATTTTTGTTTTCTGATTTCCGTTGAGCTGTATGTATTAAGTAGATATTAATCAAACAAACATATTGTAATAAAAGAAAACATAATTTATGTATTGACATGATAAATAACTGTCTTCTGATTTTTTTTCAAACTAGTGCAAAAATAAATTTAATAACAAACTCTGTACAAGGTTTGATAAGGACAATTTCTACTGTCGAAGCATGACAGATTCTTATTAATTTCGTATTTTATCGCCATTTTTGGTTAATCTTACGTTCATTTTATACAATTAATTCAAGTATGTATTAACCTATGAATTTACGTTTTTATTTTAGTTTCTAATTAGAATAAATATAGAATAAAATGAAAAAAAAATACAATCGAATGGATGCTAACTAAAAGAATGCAAGAACAAAAAAGAAAGTTGCTTATATATAAATTATTTAAAAAAATATGTATTGTGAGTAATGTTCATTTTCGCAAAAAAATATCATAGTATAAATGTTTTTAATTGATTTTGCATGCAATTGTTTCTTTTGGTACACGAAAAACCAGCCCAACCTGTACTCTGTCTTAACAACCAGCATAAGCAAAAGAAGCGGCACTATTAACACCATAATCAATATAACCATTAGCAACATCAGAAGCACAAGAAGAAGCAGCAGCAACAGGATAAACATTATAAACACTATCAGTACTACCACCATAAACAGTAGAATGATAACAAACACTAACAGCACTACCACTATTAGCATTAATACAAGGAGTACAAGTAGTTGGAGCAGTAACTGCACAACAAGCAACATGACATGTAGGTAGACCTAGAATTAAAAAAAGTATTAATAGATAAATATCATAAAGAAAATAATGCTAAAAACCAATTATGATTAGTCGTAAATCTGAGGTGCGCTATTTACAAACGCCTGAAAGAAAAGAAACAATGTTGTCATTCAGGAGTTTTGATTGAAATGCAACTATCTGTCACTATCTCAAAAGTGAAACAACTAGGTCTTAAAAATCAAAGTCAGATAAAATCACTCGATAACACTTGTCATTATCTGCACTAGTCTAAAGCAATTCAGATTCAGCTGAAATGAAAAAATTAAGAGAGATCAGTCAGAATTAACTGATTTAGACGCCCTTAAAATACTTATCACTCAGCTTCTCAGACGCAAAAAAAGTTTATTCCCATCCCGAAAAACGCTTCGGTGCAGATCTGTTGCTCCTCTATCATGCGAACTTTTTATATCCTTTTATACATGCGCAGAGAAGAAAAAAGAGCCATCGATAATATAGGAGCATTTTATTCACAAGAATGTCTTAATAAATGTGGTATTTATTCGTAACAGTTACTTAAGTGTTTAACACTGTTGTTTTACACTGGTTTGAAATAATACAAAATAATTTGAGTGTTTTCTCGTAATAATCATAGTAGTTTATCAAGTGAGACGATAAAAGAAGCATAAAAATAAAGATTTGGGGCATGGGCCTTGAATAGGTTTGTAGATATTCGATTGACAGTACAAATGTACTACTAAATATTAACAGTCTATCTTAACGACCATGCAGTGCATTGCTTTTCAGATAATATAATCGAAAAATTCCCGGACAGCTCATTAAAAAACTTTGCTATTACCTTTTGTCAAGACATGTTCATTTATTCATTTCAATGCTAAAAATAAATCTATCTGAATCATCGTTTCTCTAAAAAAAATGGAAAAGATGAAAACACTCTTATAACGCCTTTAAATTCACGCCTAAACTTATTAGTACACTACGAACGTTTCGTTACAAAGACAGGACGCTTCTCACTCTTTACTACAATCCCGTCCTTGCACATCAAAACATATAGTAACTAGTCTGTTTTTCTGAATCTGTACGATCTAATCAGCACGTCCAAGGATTATGGCGTATAAATTCAGACGTGCTGCTTTCAACCTATAGTAAAGAACATATTTCTGGTAATTTATTATTTCATTCGTGATTTAGCTGTGTTTAGGATTTCTATGAGAAACAGTTTCTTATTTTATCATCAGCGTTTTCCAGACACATGCCATATTGGATTATATAATACAAATCTCAGGTTTCAATCTTTTTTCTATCACAGGTTTTTTAAAAAAACAGTCACCGCTCTTCTATTTTTGATATAGACATTAGTAATCAACTAGTTACAGCTAGCATCAGTTAATGACTGAAACTAAAATCTATTTACCACAAATCAAGCAGTGAATTACGCTCTCGAGAGAAAATGCTTCAGTAAAGTGTCGATTAGAATAAGTATAAAAGACTCTGTGACTGGTTGAAAGCTTGCAAGAGAACGGAGGTCAAAATTTCGGGCACAATTTCTGTGAAAGACTAGCTATTAGATGCTATATGGAGTGCGAACGTGTTGTCTTTTCTATCAGTCATACATAAACAAATGTTTTTGTACTCATTCTTGTCTGAAAAACTATACCTGTAGTTGTGGGTGTGGGTGTGGATGGTGTTGTTCTAGTTGAGGTTGTTGAAGTTGAGGATGTTGTTGTGGATGTTGATGTCGTAGTCGGTTCTATTTTGAAAAAATGATTTTAGAATGAGACTAAACGATTGGATAAGATTTGTTCTTTTTCTGTAACAATGTAGCGAGGTTAAATATTAGTTGATTATGATATTTTTTTCCTAAAGATCTCTGTCGAATGTGCTATATTTCTATGAAATTCCGATGAAAACTTGTTTAACAGACATCGATATTTTGTATAGATTTAAGAATATAAAAAGCATTATATGCATAGACGTCTTTCACGGAATGAATAATGATGCCATTTTTTGTTCATTATTCTATTGATATTCGATTGTATCTATTGTTTAGTTTCAATTATCACAGAGCTTTTTCTTGCTAGGATATTTTTAAAGTAGGGCTCGAATATCAAATCATTTGTTTCAAAAAGAATTATTTTCAAAAAAGGCTTTGACTGAATGTTTTTTTCTATCATTTTGAGGCGAAGTGATCTGTGATTTACACATAAGTATGTTTAATATTTGTGTCAAATTGTCTTAATTCTCGATAATTGAAAATTATTTTTCAAGAAGAAAATAACTTTTCCTCTGTCACAGATATAATTTTTTATAAATCTCCTCTATTTATACTGACCTGGTGGAAATCGTGTTCCACTAATAACATTCATACTAGTAGCATCCACATCAGCCAACATATTTCCATTTTGATTCAACATATCAGCAAATAGTTCACAACTAGAAGTTGATCGATGAAAAGTTGCCGCTGTGCATTGACTTTGAGCTAAACAGGCTACTTGACAATTCCTAATGTCTGCTGTAATAACACTAATGAATGGCAAACAAGTTGTATTAGCACATTGAAATTTAACATAAGGTATTAAAGACATTCGCACTGATCGTATGTCTTCGGAGATTATTTGTGTAATAATCATAAATAAAAGCCATAAACAAACTCTTCTTGAAGCCATCAGCAACCAAATTGTAAGTTGATCAAATGAATGTAACTCATAATAGAAGACAGGGTATTTATTGAGCAATAAATACTATTTTTTTCTCTCTCTTTTTCTCGCAATTGACTTCGTTCTTCTAATCTTTTCATTTCATTTCATCAGTCTCGTAGAAAACCAGTCATGACTTCCGTTTCTCATTTCCTACCATCAATCTAATGAAAAAATAATCAGAACTATTTTTTTTTGAAAAAACATTATTGAGTCGAAAAAGCGATATTTCTGTGTTTAAATGTTATTAATCAGCATTTAGTTGCTGATGAAGTTTTCTATATAAATGAAAATAATTCAATTAAAAATTATTTATGCAGTCAACACTCAATAAATAGAATCTGAATATTTCAAATTTATCTCACAGATTATACAATATATCAGTAAACTAATCGGAAAGCCCCTTCAAAATCCAACACATCTCATTTAGATTTGTTAAGTATTAATGACACGAATTATGAAAATCTCTCATTTGTTATTTTCTCGTACCATTTCCATTTTTCCGTTTTTAATTGATAAAAGAATATTATGATTTATAATCATATTCTTCTCCATCAACATGACAATGATCGAAATAGTTGAGATTCATATCTATGTAGAATAATGTTAATGAGTAACAAAACATTCGATTTATTAGATAAAATTAAAAGAAACATCTTTTTTGTTCGTATTCTAAACAACGTTAAAGAATTGTTTATCATAAAAAGACAGCCTAACGTACTTTTTTTCCAATTGAGAAAAATGTTCATTCAGGAAATGGTTTTTTCTTTCATTTATATGATTGTTACGCTATTTTGTGTATGTAGAAAAGGAAACAGAGAACTTCCGAAAAACATCTACGTATTGTGTTATAGTCATAATAATACAAATGACATTAGGTCACAAATAAAAGTGCATCGAAATAAAAGTACATTGAAGTAAAACAATAAACGTCCCATATTTCTCTCAATAACAAAAAATGCATTTCCATAATTATATTAGAAAAACTAGGTTGATGACGACTTCTTTTTATTTTAATATTTATTAACGAAAAATATTCTTTCCAAATTTCAATATAATTTACATAACTCCAAGATAAATGATTGTTTGTCTCCATACTTCAAGAGAATACTACGACTATAACTGTTGTTCTTATTGTCATAGAGGGTGTGGGTAAGAGAAGAACAAAACATCCACACCCTTAGAATTTGACAATTAAGTGACAGAATTAGCTAGAATCAACAAATGCATAGATTAAATCTAACTTATTACGTAACTGAATTTGAGCAGAAGTTATTTATTAGGTATAAACTCCAACAATAAAATTTTAATAAAGAACAAAAATTAGAGATGATGATCGGAGAAAACGATAAATTTTGTTCATCTTGTCATTTTTTCAACCTATTCTTTCAAGAGAATTATTCAAGGTCTTTCGAATACACATGAAAACATTTTTATTATCTTTTCTGTTCATCAGTATTTTTGAAAATATGACTTCGACGTGTAACGTTGAAAAACAGAGATACTTTTAATAATGAATATCGGGAATAACGTGGTATGTCTTTCTATCAATTATCAACTAACGAAAAGATTTCGTCGATGTAACCAGACGCTTTTTTTGATTCTTCTTTCTGGAAATTATTTTTGTGTTTGTTGTCTTTTTACTTTGCCACCAGTTATATTAATTTATTTGAGATATATATTATTGACTGAAATAAATTTCATTGCGTAAGTGTAACTATAAGTGTACATCCAAAATGAATCAAATACTGGTTCACACTCTCATTTGTCTCTTTTTACTCTCAATAAGATAGATTCTATTTTCTTTTCCATTCGTTTAGTCATCAATAAGCAATAGTTTTTCCACAATATGTCTTGTTTCTTTGACATGAGCATTTGATTTATTCTATGTCTAGAGTATCATCCGTTTTCTTAAGTTATGCATAAAATAAGAACAGAAAATATATCAATTTTATAAAATACAACAATTAAGCTGATTAAATTATTTGACAAAAAAGGGTGTAGTTGTCAAAAAATTGATTTGTTTGAAAATATTATTTAGTTATTCATTTCTGATCTTAATTTGAGATCGATTATTCATACGTTATCATCACATGTGAATTCGCTGTCATGCGAATAAATGTCGTTACTAACAAGAAATAATTAATATTCTTCACATCTATATTTATATCCATTCAGTTGTACAAATAATGATCTGTCATTTATCAATCATGACTCTTTTTCAATAACCGCCATAAAATATGACTTCGAGATATTACTGCAAGTCATATATTATTTGGCAAATGATAATTTATTAAGAAATGTGAATGATTAAATAGTTTGATTATATATTAAAAAATTATGATTCAGTTCACAAAAGAAAATGTCATTTTGTCTATATCGATTAATAAAGCTCAGCAGTATTAAGATAACCACCAATGCTGTTGTATCCACCAGCAACTAATACTTTTCCATTTGCTAATACGGATGCTGTTTGATATCCTCGTCCGACATTCATGTTTCCTGTAGTTGTCCAAGTTCCTGTTGATGGATCGTATAATTCAGCACTAGTGAGAGGATTACTAGTGATGCCCAATCCACCAACAACTAATACTAATCCATTTGCTAATGTGGATGCTGTGTGATAGATTCGAGCGATACTCATGTTTGCTGTGATTGTCCAAGTGCGTATTGATGGATTGTATAATTCAGCACTATTGAGAAAACTATTAATACCCTGTCCACCAGCAACTAATACTGATCCATTTGCTAATGTGGATGCTACGTGAAGAAATCTGGCGATATTCATGCTTCCTGTGAATGTCCAAGTGCTTGTTGATGAGTTGTACAATTCAGCACCATTAAGATTACTACCACTGTATCCACCAGCAACTAATAGTAATCCATTCGCTAATGTGGATGCTGTGTGATAATATCGTTGAGCATTCATGATTCCTGTTATTGTCCAAGTGCCTGTTGACGGATTGTAAAATTCAGCACTATTAAGACTGCCAGCGCCGTTGGCTCCACCAGCAACTAGTACTGATCCATTCGCTAATGTGGATGCTATGTGCGTAGTTCGTGCAGTATTCAGGTTTCCTGTGATTGTCCATCCTAGATAGCGCAGAAAAGTGAGTAAAAAATATTATTCGTAGAATGACTTCGAATTTCTCATATACATAAGTTGTCTATCACTTGATGATAGATTAAATAATTTCAAATCTTCAATAAATTTGTCTTCGTTTTCATGATTAAGATAAAACTCATTATGAAATATTAAATTAAATTAATAAAAAACATGTTATAAACGATTTCACTGATATTTTTCGAGTTCTACGGATATCACGAACTGAGGAAGCTCCAACACTGCCCTACAATTCAATTATAATGAATAATAATCGAATTTCAGAATTTGAGCGAAAGCAAGATATACTTTCACCATGTTGGATGGGGATGATGTATGTATGTGTCAGGATGTAACTGTGAGTAAGAGAATATACTTCTCGCATCGTTCTCATAAGAAAATCAGTACACTAAGAGTTAATAGATGATGATAAAAGGCGTTTTTCTCGAGTTTGAAGTTTATATTTTATACTTCTACGATGTTTTTTTGAATTACTCAACTCTATACAAATGTAACCTAAAAAGTGAGATTAGGCGTTGATATATATGTGTCATGTCGATATTGTGTCAACTAGTACTTCATCATGTAGAATTATTTCGATCATCTTGAGAGTGGATGAATGTGAGTGATTACAAAAATGATCAATGAGTTCTATCACATGAAAATCTTTTTATCAACAATGTTTTTGTCTGATATTATTGGACAGGACAAGAATATTCAGTACTTAAATGAGTGTAGACCAAATCAAGTCATCAAAAACTGGCCTTATTTCAACTCCTTATAGGAAATGTTCCCTGATCTTGTATATCTAGATGGCGATTATTCAATAGCTATAATCAAAACTTTTAGATACCGTCACTTCTATTAATCATCTTTTGAGCTACTACAAACGATTTAATATAGTACTCACGCGGTATTGCTGTTGTGGATGGTGATAATGTTGTGGATGATTTTAATGTTGTTGTTGATGATGATGATGTTGTTGTTGTTGCTGTTGTGGTGGTGGTGGTGGTGGATGCTGTTGTGGATGTTGTTGTCGATGATGATGATGATGTTGTTGAAGTTGTTGTTGTTGTTGATGATGATGATGTTGTTGTTGAAGTTGTTGTTGTTGTTGATGATGATGATGTTATTGAAGTTGTTGTAGATGTTGTTGTTGTTGTTGTTGTTGATGATGTTACTGTGGATGTTGAAGATGATGTTGCTGATGTTGATGTCGTAGCCTGCTCTATTTTGAAAAAATGATTCTACAGTAGGGCTAAACGATTGGATAAGATATATTTCTTTTTCTGTAACAATGTATCGAGGTTAAATATCAGTTGATTATATTGAAACAAAAAATATTTAAATAATTTTCCTCTATAATTATAATTCTACGGTATTTACTTTAATTATATCTTTATTACAATAATCAATCCGTGATTCAGATACAAATGTGTTCAATAGCTCTGTCAAGTTGTCGTAATTCTTGATGACTTGAAAGTATTATTCATGAAGAAATTAGCTTTTTCTCTCTCACCGATATATTTCCTACTAAATCTCCTCTATTTTTATACTAACTTGATGGAAGTCGTGTTCCACTGATAACATTCATACTAATAGTATCGACATCAACCAACATATTTCCATTTTGATTCAACATATCAGCAAATAATTCACAATTAGAAGTTGATCGATAAAACGTGGCTGCGTTGCATTGACTTTGAGCTAAACAGGCTACTTGACAATTCCTAATGTTTAATGTAAACACATTGATGAATGGTAAACAAGTTGTATTAGCACATTCAAACTTGGAATTGATCATTAAAGACATTTGCACTGATCGTGTATCTTCTGCGAGTGTTTGTGTAATAATCATAAATAAAAGCCATGAGCAAATTTTTCTTGAAGCCATCGACCACCAGATTGCAAGTTGATCAAATGAATGTAACTTATAATAAAAGACAAAGTATTTATTGAGCAATAAATTCTATTTTCGTCTGTCTTCTCAGTGCGTACTGCATAGTTTTTTTCCCAGAATTTATTTCATTCACCAGATGGAAAGCCAGTCTCGACGCCTTTTTCCCAGAATTTATTTCATTAGTATAATAGAAAAAGCAGTCCTGGCTTTTTTTTGCTTTGGAAAAGATTTATTCATTCAGATAGGCGTGTTTTTGTGTTTATATGTTATTTGGGAATGTATATATTCATAAATAGAGCTTTTGACTTATATGAAAGATAAAAAACATAAAGAACGATCAATCAAACAAAACTGAATTTGAAAAGAAAATATAATCAGCATTCAGTTGGAGATGAAATTTTCTATAAAAATCAAAATACGTCAGTTGAAATTTATTTATTTAAATCTAAATACTTCAAATGCATTTCATGGATTATACAATATATTAGTGAACTGTCGCATAATTCACATTAGAATAAAGTCAATCTTTAATGTCTAAATGAAGAATAATCAGGCCAGTTATTTCATCAAGCAAGAGAATCAGCGGATTCATATGATTATTTGTGCCTATTAAAATTACTAAATTATGGTTTTGTAGTATTCCAACGTCGACTAAATGATTGTTTATCATAACAAGACGTTGAAGAACTATTTTTTCTCAATTAAAGATCTTCATCCAATAAGTATTTGTATTCGTCTTATTTCTTTTTCTTTCATTTGTATGTTGTTATGATGTATTATGTATGTAGAAGAGAAAAAAATTAGTTGAAAAGTCCTTTCAATTTTTCTTCAAAAAAGAAACGATAGAAACAACGTTGTTTCACGAAAAGAGAACTGTATCTGAATAAAACAATTCACTTTCGGTGAATAGTACAATTAAGTTGGTGACGACTTCTTTTTCTTTTAATATGTTATCAAAAAAAAATATTCTTTCAAAATTTGAGTATAATTTACATAACTTCAAGATAAATGATTGCTTATTTTTCTTCTTCTACCGATTCTAATAATATTGGATTATCTACTAAAGAATATATTTTATACACGAATATATATTGACAATATCATATTTATCTAGAAATTTTATATCAATTGATTGTTTATCTCCATACTTCAAGAGAATATTACGACTATACTTGTTGTTTTTATTGTCATAGAGAAAAAGAAATCAATGGCAATTGACTGAATAATAACAATTCTAATCTTAAGCATGAAGTATCACTTAAAAATAGAGTCAACAATAATGTTATAAATCACAATTTCTCTCGAAATATTATTACCCAGAAGAAGCTTTTGATAGAAATTGAAATAAGTCAAATATATATGAAATGAGAAAGGCATTATATTTTTCTGTTTTCTCTAAGATTTTATTGTATAAATAAAAGATATGAATAATTTATACATTTAAAAGTCATTCTTGAGGATGTGAACAATTACCATAAAACATGAGTTTTTCGATTTTATAAATAAAGATTATCAAGTGGCAAGTACTAGTCGATCAGATTTTGAGGAAAATCTATACATAGCACTGAATTGCATGAGCTGCCTAAATCAACGTCGAATATAAATGTACCTTCGACTACATTATATCACTTCGAAAATAATTCGCTCAAAGAGTTTTCCTAAATTATAATTTATAATTCGAATTCGAAGGCATTTATGGTAGTTTAGAAAAGAGAAGGAAAAGGAAAAGTTGAGGGGGTGAGTGCGAGATGGATACAATACTCATACCCACATCCACACCATAGATGATGTAACTAAACTGCAATTGTACCTTTCCTTATATATGTATGTACTTGTTTCTAGGAAATAAAATAGAAAAAGAAAGCAACCGTTTTACCATTATCATCTCTCTTCTTTCTTTCTTTCCACTTTAACAATAATAGTTTTATTTTTTTTAAATAACTTTCATAAGGTTGTTTGTTCTAATATGAGTACAGATATGTGTTTAATGTCGATTCGTGTCAGTAAAAACAATCGAGAAATTGATTCGACAGAAGATAAAAGACACGGTATTTTACAAAATAAGCATATTGGTATGTATCTTCATGTAAACCTGGTAGGTATTCATTTATTTTCTTAAATTGAAGCTCATTGGCAATCTGATCGTCCTCGATCACATCCAGTCAATATACAATTTAAAGAAAAAATCAAAATAAAAGATCTATGTATTTTTTCGGATTTTAAAGTTGATGAAAGTTATACACCTCAAAAGTGCTTATTTTCTCTTCTTATTCCATTTTAATTTTTAAGAATCTTAATTCGAACTGGTATTAATCATAATAATTTAGTTGAATTAAGATATTTTAAAATTCATGAACCAACTGGATGGGTGATTGTTCCAACTCGTGATGCACGTTCAAATCCAATAAGAACATGGATGATTCAAATAGCAGTATTAGCTAATCATCAAAGTGGTCGTGCATAGCCCTACAGAAACATCTTCGATATTTATTGATCCAAAGTTTTCAAGCATTGAATTAGCATCACATAGTAGTTGCAGATAAATTTTTGTTGATATTATATATAGATAATTCAGTATGTTCTACAATTTATTAATTTATTCGATCAAAATGCAAATGCTTGAAACCATATACCTAAACTATATACAATTTCTGAAATACGTTTTTCGTTGTGAATCGATTGATAAATGAAGATATTTAAGATAATTCTTTTTTGCCATAATAAAAAAATACTGTGCTGATTAAAGTACCAGTGAATAAAGATATTATATTTGTCTTCTGAATATAAACATTCTGTTTCTAATAAAAACCTACATAACGTTTCTTTTATTTAATAAAATTAAAAAACAAAAAGTAACTAATCCAACGTAATATTCTTATATTCTTCAAAAGCCCGTTTCAATCTTGTACATCCCTCTCGTAATTTATCAGTATTAACGAAAGCAATACAAAGACGAAGACAATTGGCTAAATGTGCTTTTGCTTCTTCATCATGAGCAAATAATCGTCCGGGTTTAAATGTAACACCATATTTACGAGCAATAATTAATAATTGATCACAATCAACAGTTGTATCATGAAATTTTATCCAAAGAAAATAACCACCTGATGGTCGTCGACATGATATATAATTCTCACCAAATGTTTGCATTAATTCACTATGTAATACTTTCATACGTTTTTTGTATTCAACACATAATTTTTCATCAATAAATTTTTTTAATAAATCTTTGGTTAATATTCGATCAACAATACCTGATGTAAAAGGATTAGCACCACCACTACTATGTATTAAACCAAAACGACCCATTGCGCTAACATGTTCATGACTTGCACATGCAAAACCCAAACGTAAAGAAGGTGTAAGAATTTTGGAAAATGAATGAAGTGATATGACTGTTCCTGCAGCATGATAAGCAGCAAATGATTTTGGATGTTCAATTAATTGATTATGATCATGAATATTTCCATTTGTTTCTTTTTTTTCATAATCAAGAAAATGATAAACTTCGTCAGCTACGATTAAAAAATTATATTTCAAACTTAATTTTACCAATTGTTCACGACGATGATGAGACATGGTAAAGCCACTCTATAATAAAATATGTTGTGCTCTATTTCAATTCTTTTTTTATTATTGAATAAATCATATATTTACAGGATTTTGAAATGTTGGTACCAAATAGATCATCTTCGGTTTAGCTTTTTCAAGTACTTCACTTATAAATTTTGAATCAATAATTAATCCATCATTATCAGTTGCATATGAAATAATATGTAAATGATGATCACGAAAAATTGGTAAAGCATACAAATATGTTGGACATTCAACAAGTACAGTATCACCTGCTCGTAAAAACATAGTACAAAGTTGATCGAGCATAGCCGAAATACCATTTGTAATAAAAATATTTTCAAAGCTCAATGTTGAAATTCCACATGAATGATGAAGAAAATTAACAATATTATGACGTAAACTAGTATTGCCTTCATCTTCTGCATATCCCCAATATGTTCCTTGTCGTTTACCTTCTTCATCAGCAAACATTTCTTGTGATGCTTTTGAAAGCATATCAAATGGTATCATACTCGTATCAGGTTCTCCAATATCAAGTTTAATCGTAGTTGTATCCAATCTATTAATAGTTCTATCTTCCAATTCAATATCCATGATTTATTTTTATTCTAAAGAATGATCGAATTGTAAAAATAAATAGAAGCAATAAAAGCAAAAAAAGTAAAGATAAATTGTGATGTTTCTTCTGAATATATATTTTGTTTTTTTATTCCATCATTTCGCACAAGAACAATAATCATAAACGATAATAAAAGAAAAAACAATATAGCGAAAAACAATTGATGGATTCTATGATATTCTTATATTGTGTTCGTAGATGATGTTTAATCGAGCTTCTTAAAGCCAATATCACTTGAATATTCGCGGAAGCATTGACGGCAAATCATTAAACCATACTAAAGATGAGAATTTTCAAAAAAACTTGAATTAATAGTTTAATAAATCACTTACTTTGCGAATGATACCATGGCCATTGGAACAAACACGGCATTTACGACTACCTGGTCCATATCTATGTGGATGTGAACGAAAGATTGATGAATGTCCCATGATGTAATGATATTAATCAAGAATCGTGATAGATCTAAAAACAAAAAATAACGAATAGTAGATGTATTAATCAAGATTTCGTAAAATAATGTTTGTTAGTAACTATATTTTATCTTTGTTAAATTTATTTATCCAGATTTTACTATAACAAATCACCTCCTGAGAAAACAAGATGTAAAATTTAACGAAAGATGTCATAATCATCGTAAATTTTAATTGGTTGAAATATTTTTTTTTCGAAATAAAGAAGAAATTGAAATTCTTTAATTCTTATTATTCGTAACAAAGGATGATGAATAAAAAAAAGATTTCTTCTTTGCTGATTTTAATTGAAAGATAACGAAGCGATTCTGACTTTGTTATGATTAAATAAATATTTACAACATTTCCCTTCCTTTTTTTAAATATTTATTTATTTTCAGATTGATTTGTAATAATCATTTAATTAATTTCAATGGTAAGAATATTTCTTCTTTTAAACAATTCTTACATGTTACTTCTTTATTTTATTAGCCAACTCAAGGAAAAAGCAGCAAAATGCTGCAACATATCAATTATCGTATGTAGTTGTTTTTTTTTGGTCTGGTAGATTTATTTATTTTTTTACGTTTTTGAATAGGTATGCGATGTACACTACAAGATGGACGACAACTTGTTGGTACATTTAAAGCATTTGATAAACATATGAATCTTATATTAGCCGATTGTGAAGAATTTCGTAAAGTACGAAGTAAAACTGATAAAAGTGAACGTGAAGAACAACGACCATTAGGTTTAATTTTATTACGTGGTGAACATCTTGTTTCAATGACAGTTGAAGGACCACCACCAAAAGAGGTTTGTAATAATTATCTATGTCTTTGATAGATTTAAAATTCAAGTTGAATGAGTTTTCAGTTATTTATGATGTAAAAAATTTTTAATATTTATTTATAGGAAGTCGGTATTGCTCGTGTACCAACAAATGCAGCAGCAGCCGCACAAGGTGCTGGTCGTGCAGCTGGACGAGGTTTGTTTATTATTTTATTTTAATTATGATATATAAATGAGAAATTTTATTATTATTTATAGGAGTTATACCACCTGTACCTGGTGCACCTAGTTTTGCAGCTCCTGGTCTTCAAGGACCAATACGTGGTATTGGTGGACCTGGTTTCAATCAAATGGCACCTAATGGTCGAGGCATGCCAGTTGGCATGAGAATGCCACCACCACCTATGGGAATACGTAAGTTTTAGAATTCATTTTATAATAAAGTTTTTTCTTATATCTAAATATTTAGGTCCACCCGGCATGTAATATCAAGAAAATCTGTGTTTTTTATTATATTTTCTGTTGTTTTGTTCTATGAGCAGCCATTTTGTAAACGAAATATAAACTAAAAAAAATATTCATTGATATTTTACATTACTTATATCTGGATAAATATATATATGATATTCAAAATGAAAGAATTTTGAATTTTTTAGAACATCAGTTTTTATCGAATGTCATTTTGCTCTATTACTATTTATATATGAATTTACCAACAAAACTGACATATTCTTCCATAATGTATATCCCATAAGAAGTAGTCCTATGTATAGCATATGTTGCGTTCTCTCAAATAACTTATATCCCAACAAAACAAACTAATCAAAGAACGCATACTCAAAATAGTTTGTTCTTCCGCAACCTTGACCTATATATCTATACAATAAATTGTGTAATAAAAGAAATAGGGCAAGATACTAAACGAGCAAAAACATATATGTTATCTAATCAGACAAAATAAACCGGATTTTTCCATGAAAGGAACGTATCAGAATTTTAGTAAATATCTGTTTTTGTTTATTGACATAACTATAAAAAATAAGTACCCAATGGGACAAAAAATATTGCATTCATATGCATTTATCTGTTTTAGATCAATTTATTTATTCATTCGGATAAAAAAAAGTGTAAACATGAATGATTACAACGTAACAAAAAAAATTTGCATTAAAAAAAATGATCAAATGCTTTTTTTATACGGCAGAGAAAATAATCTGGTCATGTAAATATATCAAATAAAATAAAATCACAATTAAGCAGTTACTTTCACAAGTGCTTCTTGTAGAACAGTACATAGAAATTCTAATTCTTCATCGGTCATTTCAACATTTAATATAAGACGAATTGATGGTTCTGGTAAATGATGTTCATCATTCAAATATCTTGCAATAGTTATAGTTATATCACGTGTTTGAGCAAATTCAACAATATATTCTAAACGTCCAATTGTATTCAATGAATTTGCTAAACTTAAATGCTTTAATGGTGAAATATCTTCACCAAGAACTCTATAACCTTTAATATCTAATAATTTTTTATGTAAACGTTTACTTTTATCCATTAATGTTTCAAATAATAAACTATTCTCTTCATCCATTATATTTAATGCTTCAATAGCTGCAGCAGCAAGTAATGGTGGTAGTGATGCTGAAAAACAATAACCTTGTGCTGATAAACGTTGATGATCAATAACAAACGAACTACCAACAGCAAAACCACCTATTGAACCAACAGAATATTCTAATGTTGATGATATTAAATCAATTTTTTGTCGATCAACATTATGATATTCTGTTACACCACGACCTGTTTGTCCTATTGTACCAAATGATACACTTTCATCCATAAATATACGATATTTATATTTATATTTTAATTCAACCATACGTGGTAATGGACATATATCACCATAGTTCATATATAAACCTTCAATAATAAGAAAACGTCGTATTGTACTAGCTTTTTTCGGATTTTTTTTATCATGTTTATCTTGTTCAGCTAATAAACGTTCAAGATCATTGATAT